CTTGTGTTGCACTGCCAGGGACTTGGAAATTCCCCCCGAATTAGTTCGCTTCTTCGAGAGCCCATGATACCGCGAGATTGCAGAATGGGTACTGACTAAAAAACAACCTCTGGAATACCGAGTGGCTAGTGGGAGGTTATTGAAGCAACTGCCTGTGCGAGGGCGGGTCATTTGCTTGTTGGAGCATGAAGTTCCTAACGCACTCCTTCAGGGTCACGATTCGGTCTTGGGCGGACATTATGGGCGAGACGCAACCCTGAGGAGACTAGCCAAACAGTTTTGGTGGCCCACCATGAACTCAGACGTAAGTCGGTGGGTTGTGGAATGCGAGACGTGCCAGCGACACGCGCCTCGGAAGCCGATTCAACCAGTGGGCCCGGTCATCACGACTCAGCTGTGGGAGTGGCTGCAGATTGATTGGGTGTTAGGGTTGCCGGAGATGAGCAATGAAAACACATGTTTTATTGTGGCTGTGGACGGGTTTACCGGAGTCGTTGCAGCCAGGGCATACCCACAGGCGACCGCGAGGAATTCGGCTCACTTCTTGATGCATGAGATTGTGTATCAGTTCGGATTACCCGCAAAAATATAGACCGACAACGGGACTCGTTTTCTGGGTGAGTTTCGGGATCTTTGTGCCCACTGGAACATTAAGATATCGTGGTCTGCTCCATATTACCCGCAGAGCCATGGGAAAGTTGAGAGGGCAAATCGGGAACTTCTGGTGCGGTTACGCAAATCAGGACTCAAGGTGGAGTGGGATTCCGCGTTACCTGGGGCAGCGTTTGCGGCAAATGCGTGAGTGTCGCGCGATTGTCCGGAGAGCCCGTTGACTTTGCTGACAGGGATCCACCCGAGGGGGCCATTGGAATTGGCCTTAGGGAGCAGTGCCAACTGGAGGGGGCTGGATCGGAGGGTGTCCCGGAGCCGGAGGATGTACAGGAACACATCGCGCGAGTGGCAGAACTTCGTCAAATCGCCACCGCCCGAAGGGGGATGACGCATGGCGTGCGGGGATATAAACGCAGCCACATGGCGATCGGGGACCACGTCTTGGTGCATCGGGAAGTCAGGCTGCACAAGTTAGGGGCGAGGTGGGTTGACCCCTACCCGGTGATGTGGGTGGGACAGCGTGGCACGATTAGGGTTAAAGTGGCCCACCGCAAATGCGTCTTTGCCGCCCACCAGGTCAAACGCTTCCTACCGCGGAACGAGGACACCCGACATGCGAGGCGAACGCGAGGACGTTGCGTAAATGGACAGCCAACCAGCGGCCGACCGACACGCAATGGCCAGCAAGGACTTCGGGGAGGAATGGGAGGTGCGTTCCCAGAGCGAAACAGTGGCCGCACCGAGACAAGCCTTATCGCGCACGGAGGAACGACCGGCCGCGGTAGCGATTGAAGTAGTTGGAAGTGGTCCGCACACGCCGCCGGCAAGGGGCCGCCACGGCCTAGCGAGTGATGGATGGGAGCGAGTCATGATGGAGCTTCACCAGCTTAGGCGAGAGCTGGGGGACGTGCAACGCTGGCTGGACGAGGTGGAGAGCCAACGGGAATCGCCACAGGGTATCGCAACATGGATGTCGAACGCTGGGTATGACGAGGGGGTGATGGGTAGCGCGCGCAGTACGACAGGGCCGTTCGGGTCATAGACGGGGGCCCCGCGCACCCATCGCGTGGCCGCGCCGCGGGTCGACGCGACCATGGAAATGATTCGGAGATCGCAGTGGTGGCCAGCTGACGTGGACCGGGCCATCCACGAGCAGGCGGGCGCCGATGAATGGTGGAGTGCAGGGTGGAGTGAGCTCGGTTCGCGAGAGGAACTGCCTGAGGGTGACTTCGGTCGAGCGGCGCATCAGCGGGAGGTTGCGCGATGTGCGAACGCTCGATGGGTTGGTGGGAGGTGGATCACTAGGGGGCCGGAAGGCGGCATATACATCTACGCTCGTTCCGGGATCTGGGCTTTGGCTTTCGGTCCAGCTGGTCCCCCTGACCATCGAGTGCGCGGACCCACCCTCTACGAGCGCGACCACACGCTGGACGAGTTTTTTGAGTAACTAGCTTTGAGCCAGGAGGCTCATGACTTCGGAGGGGGGGTGTTGTAGAGTCCGTGTGCCGAGATGAGACGGGTAGCAACTTGGGCAAGAGGATATTCCTGAAGTGGGTTGTTAGGAGAGCGGTTGGGAGGTTAGGCGAGGACGGGGTAGCAGGGCACGGACACGGAGGAATGGGGAAGTCGTAGGGTAGGGACCTCAGGAATGCCGGCGGGCGGACGGGTCCAGGTAGGCTGGCTTAGATGTATAGGTACGGGGAAGTGGGGACAGAGTGGAGATAGTGGACGGGTTAGGGAGTTCTGGGGAAGTTCTGGGAACGGATTCTAGCTAGACCGAGCTAGTATGACATGATCAATCTGTAAAGCTGGTAGCGCAGCCGGATATGCTGTCCTTCAGCGGGGAGGCATTTGATAGCTATACGCTTGGACGATCACCTATATAAGGGAACCCCGTTTTGTAACGATTGCTTGGGACCTGACCAAGTCAGACGTGTGGCCCATGAGGCCTGTGTGAGCACACGATCTCCGCCGGGCATCCGCGAGTGAGTCGGCCGCCGTGCTGCCCAGTTGTGGGTACCGGCACTTACACAAGCAAGACCAACGGGCAGCCAAAACGTGTTGCTGGGGTGCCTTGGCAGAACGACTGAGTTGCCGCCGAAGGGATCAGTGTTTTGACTGATCGCGCTTCCTCCAAAAGTCGACACGCAGAGCAGCACAGCTCTCGTGGTGCCGTGCTATGGCTCCAAGCAGTAGGATGTACTGTGCTATGACGGTACTGGTGATTGGTTGAGGTTGCTGAGGTGTAAGGGGATCACGCGCTGTGCTGCACTGTGAAAGCGCAAAAATTTGCAAGTGCTTTGTTTGATCAAGTTTGTCGTACAGATCTCCAAGTGACATTTTCACATAACAAGGGCAGGGGTTAGCGCAGGTCGCACGACCCCTTGCTTGCTCGTCCGATGTGCTAAAATATAAAACCACATGTGCTGTGCACGTTGTAAGCATATCGAGGGTGTTGAGTCTATCATGCAATAGGAAGAAGTGCGATTCTTGATCGGTCATGTCCAATCACCGGGTCTTATAGACAGCCCTTATCCCAAAAACGAAATATGTCGAGCTGCCCAAACTCGTCAATAGATGCATTGGCAAGTGCCTAGGGAACAGGAATGGCACATTATGCAAAAACACTCTCACAAAAGTTTGCATTATGGCAACCACCTCTGCGAAGGATGGCACAACATCCAAGTGTTCAAGAATCGTGCACGGAAACAAGACTAGCCATGATTGCTACATCTTGGTCCATGGCACCAACATGTTTCAGCATACCCAATCAACTGATGTTGTGTTAGCACTCATGACACTGATTCTTCAAGGCAACTGTGACAAACAATTGATGAACCCACTCCATGGAGGTACCTCAAATTCAGGTTGCCAGCATGATTACCGCCAGTGCTATGCCAGCAGCTACCAACGTTCGGGAGAATCAACGCACTGCTATTTATTCTTTTCGCGTGGCACCCATGGCGCATCGTGATCCAGGGGAGCTCTGCTATCCTTAGCCGAAGCGCAGGAGGTAGTACTTCGATTTCAACATGCTGTTTCAGCCATTAACTAGACAACAAATTGTTTAGGATGCGCCAACTGCACCTGGCAGAAGGAAGGTTTTCAGCCTGACACCTGAATCAAAACCCCAATAGCAATTCGGAAGCTTTTCTTGCAGCAAAGCTGACAGAATGAAGCAATCATTCCAAGCAGGTGACCAAAGCATCCCAAATGCAACACCAGAATTGTCCAATTTACAACAAAATAAATGAATCAAACTCTCTTGGAAACTCCTGCCCACCCCTACTGACTAGTGCCCATTTCCATCCACTCACTGCACTTCCTACACATTCTCTTAATGGCATCCTTGTCATCTGGATGACGAATTTTCCATTTGGCACCCAGCTTGGTAGCCCACAGGCATGCTCTGTACCTCTCAAACTCCTTCTGAGGCCTTTCTACCACATTTTTACAAAACTTTGCATCGGAAGGGTAGTACATCTTGAACAATGACACATCCTTAATGCCCTTTCTACCCTTCACTATTTTGAGGAAGCCGGCCCTGGGGACGATCCTATCTCTGAAAGAGTAATTCAAAAAGTAGGGAAACTTCACCAGCTCCTCCAGGTCCTTTTCCATCTCCTGCTGCAGAAACTGCACCTTCGTTGGCATTTCCCCAGACAGGGAATTTCCCAGCACCTGCGGAAACTCCAACACCATCTTTCCTACGTCTTCTGATGACAATCCAAGCCCCAAATAGTATTCATGTCGGCTGCGGTTGCTCTCCATGGAGTTAGTCACCAGGGAGGGCATGCGCTTGATAATGGCCCCTATGTTTCCCTCAGGGATCTTGAGGTCTGACACCAGGAACTGCACTAGGACCTCCACCTTGCGATTCAAGTTGGCTGTTAGCACTGCAGGGAACTTCACTGCCATCTTGCCAACATCATTTGGCGACAGCCCAAGTGTGGCAAAGTACTGCAGCTTGGGCACAAGCTTGTAATCTACTGAGAAGCCCATGAGGGATGGGCGTCTTTTCAGGAGGTGCATGTACTCATCTTTGGGGATGTGCAACTGCTTTGTGAGGAAGCTGAGGCATGGCTTGAGCTGGTCTTCCAGGCTGTAGGTCAGCATCCTTGGGTTCTGAACCAGGCAGGCCATGGTTGTCCTGGGTGGGCCACCCAGGTCCCTGAAGAATGCCACCTTGGGTACGATGTCTCGCTCCACAGACCGCAGCAGCAGAGATGGCTCCTTTTGCAGAAGCCTCACAAACTCATCCTTCGAAGCCCCCATCTCTGACTTTGCATAGTCTGCAAAGATCTTGAGGTTGCCTTCAAAGGCGGGAATGAGCAGCAGCTCTGGGCACCCCACCAGGACAGGCCCAATGTCCTCCCAAGACAGCCCCTGGGCTCCAAACAGAGCCAACCTGGGCACAATGGCATTCTTAAGAGACAGGCGCAGGACCTGGGGGCACCTCTGGAGGATCGCTCTGACTCCTCTGTAGGACAACTTCAATGTCGAGAAGAAGAAGTTCACCACCTGCAGTTCCTGTTTTGACAACTTGTAAGCTGCACGAGTGTTTGCCAAGTCCCGCAGCACCTCCTTACCAAGCATTTGAGCATCTGGGCTTCGAACTTCGATTGATCTCTCTGAAGCTTTGCATTCATCGCATGCCATCCTCATATGGACAAAGCACAATGGCAGTTGCTGGGCCGCAAATGGGGCTCGAACGTGCTTTGATCTGGCTGAAAATGCTTGAAAAGTTGCATTCAGGCTGCCAGTCATCAGCATGTGATCCTTACAGAGAAATCGACCAGCAGCCACCAACCCCTTGCCAATGTTTGAGCTTCTGTGAATGTCACGCACTAGGCACCACACCATACCTCCTCCCAAGGTACGGGGTCTCTTCAAAGCCACAGGGTGCTGGGAAATCTGGTTGATGCATTAGTTTGTGCGATGCCTGTGCTACCTGTGAAACGGCACACAATCAGTGTCACGTCTACATCGTGCTGAACACTGAAGTTGACCAAATGCACCATCGTCTCTCATTGAGGAAGGACGATCTGCATCGAGACAAATGGGCTTGAGGAATAGGAGGTGGATAGTGAAAGTTGCAACAAAGACATGATAGGCCACGAAAATTATGCCACACGATGCCCAGCCCACTGCTATATTTGCACAAACTCACCACCAGGACCGTTGCATATTCGCTCCATTTCATCATCTTCCCCAAGTGTGGTGTGTGATGCAATTCGGGTGGTTTGCAAATGGTGACACAAGTTCTCACTGAATAGTTCAAAATGGCAGATCATTTGGTGGCATTAATGGCGATGATGGGCCTACCCTATTGCTTCCAGACCGAAATGTCACATTCCAGACCAAATCGTTATGTGGATTGATTCCTTCCTCCACATCGGGGAACAAGTATACTTATCAATACCCACTTTGAGCTCACTTGCTTTCATGTTTTCTAGTTTTGTGAGCCACCGGAAACTGGTATGGCAGTGCCCAGGTCAAAAACCCTGGCCATTGTCTTCAAAACACAAGAATCGCCATTCGCAAAGCACAGGCTGGCCTCACTGACCAGTGCAGTCCTGGACAAGTTGCCCCCAGCATAAGTTTATTGCTGGTGGGAGCTGTTTTCCAGCTGACGACAAATCAGTCCGCGCTGAACCCTTACAAGGTGCTACGGCTCTTAGAGATGACTCAAGTGCACCACTTTCAGCGCTGAGTTGACATAGGGCATCCGATCATGGCCTCTGCGCGGACAACAGCTGTCCGATCAGGGACTGTTCTAAGGAACAGAAGCGGCTGTTTATACGGGCACAACACTCACGAAGCGCCACCACAGGAGCTAAGTCTCACCGAATTTGAACTGCCAGCTCGACAGCCCGTTTCGCCGTCAGGACGATCGAATCCAAAGGTCTCCCAACAGCCTCAGCGCGTGGGCGGCAACCCAACGCCCAAGCAACAGCCGTTCCTCGCCTCGTCCGCCACACGCGCCAGGAAGAGCGGACTGGAGGGGCTGCCTTATGTTCGGCCGGCTCGCCATGACTCTTTGGCGGTGGGAGTGGGCGTGGGGTTGTGGACAAGCCCTGCCATTCGGCCCACGTGCCCGCATGGAGATTCTGGCAAATCGGTCCCATCATCCCAATTTGGCGCCCGTCAAAGGAACGAGCTGCAGCCTTACGTTCAGCCCTGCAATTCTGCCCACCCAGGGCACACGCTGAAAAAACGATTACAATCACTTTTTCAGCTCATCGCACATGCGACAGATATCACAAACCATGTCCACACAGCCACATATACCCGAGTCCATTATCCAATCTTCCCACAACGAAATCTGCATCGGTCGGTGCATTCACCCCAATATCAATGTTTTGCCAAATTCCCAACGATCCGGCACCCGTGAGGAGCTGGGGAAGAAACAAAACGGGGGGCGGAACACAACACCCGAGAGGGAAGGAATGATGACGGTCAGGCAGGCCGGGCAGGGGCGGCAGGAGACGTCTCGCTGAAGATCTCACAGATTTCCCGCCGCAAGGAATCCTTCCGAACCACCATCCAGCCAAACAAACGGAAATCGTAGGACGTAGGGCGGCGCTGCAAGTCAACATTGGCCCAAAGAGCATCAGAATAGGGGCCAACCAGCCCCAATCACGGACATGGGCCTCGGGCACCAGAATGGAGAACGCAGAGGAGGCCCCCGTGCGCCGGATGGCATGGTGATGATACGGCACACCCGTCGGGGTCAAGTGGACACTCGCCTCAGCAAACCAACGGTGGACACCCTGAAGCCGAGGGGGATGCCGGTCCGAAGGTAGACTGAAGAAGAACTGCTCATGGCCACGTTGACCCGGGAGGTGCCCCGCACGGCAAGCCGTCCGGAGCTGGACCCGGTGCTGGAACAGAAAGGGCAAGTTCGGGAAGCCCCAAAAATCAAAAGCCCGAATGCGCCACATCAAGGCGCGGGTGGCCTTCGCCTTATGACGGTGTTCCCGAAAGAAAAGGTGGGTAGGGGCATCATCAGCAGCAGTCGGGGCCACCGTACCCAGCCAATAGTCATCACAGAAAATCTCATGGTCTGAATCCGCCCGCGAAAAGAACAGGGTGTCGAGGATCAATGACACCAAGGGGCGAAGGCGGTAGGGGTGCCGCTCCACTAAACCAAGCTCAGCCAATCTAAAGAGGTCAACAGCCGGAAAAGTCATGACAGTCTCACGAAAAGCTGAGGGAGGGGCAGCCACCTTCCAAGCACGTAATAACCGGCCGTCACAACATCATGGGCGCACCAAGCGGGGACGCCGGCCCACGCATGTATTGTGGAGATCGCAGACAAATATGTGCCGGCATTGCCCACTGTGACATGACCCTCATAGAGGTGGCCACTCAAAGGTGCCATCCGGTCCGTTAGGTCCGGTTCGTTAATTTTTATCAGCTGTCCGTTAAATTTCGTTAAAGGAAAAGGGAGAAAATTTCAGAAAAAAAGAAAAAAATCCAAAAAAATTGAAAACAACCCAAAAAATTCACAACAACTGCGGCTAGTTAAAAATCTAGTATGCATAGGTTGAAATAAAATACAAACATACTCTATAATAGCGAATTCCATAAACTATAAGTATGACTAAAACCCAAAAATCCCCCAAAAATCCAAAAATCCGTTAATTTTTGGTTAATTTTTGTCTTTTTTCGTTATTTTCCGTTAATTAACGGAAAATTAACGGAAATTAACCTCTGTCCGCTATTAACGGATCCGGGTGGCCACCTCTAGACCCTCTGCTCGCAAAAACAAAAAATAGGCATAAATTTGGTCCCGCGAAGTGGGCAAGGCCCGCCACCCACGAGCGGAACACATGCGCGAGTATTTCTGAAACTTGCGCCAAATCGATGCCCAACCCGAAACAGCGTTTGACTCCACCAGGCTAAGGACCACAACCATATGCTCCTCCAGACTGAGCTTGCCCATGGTGGAGAAATCGGTCACCGAAGCTAACTCACGGAGGATGTCCATAATTGTGACGTGGCTACTTGGGGTAAGGCAGTTATTTGACATTTTCTGGAGTAGGATTACGTAATTGGCTAAATCGACCTTTTGTGAGTGTTATTAAGAGCTTCTTGGTTCCAAAGAGCTTTTAAACGCCCGATTCCGTTAAGAAACGGCGAAGATATGGCCTCCTGAAGTCGTAGTACTTAGGGCCAGGGGGTCGGGTGTTAGACGCTTGGAATTAGAGGACAATGGGTCGATTGTAGGTGAACGGTGGACGGTGACGATGTGCCTAGATGCGCACTTGTCTTGTCTTATCATGATGTGACCGCGATGGACCCGCGATCGGGCATCGCGCATGCAATATGTGCGCGCGCATGCTGCGAATCCATGTAACTGTTCTGGCCCACTCTCTGGCCTTCTGCGAGCCAGCGAACCACCATCTCGCTGCGCCGCCACCTCTCGCCGACAGCAGGCCCCGGGGATCGATCCCCGCCGAGCATTGGGCCCACCGCGCGACCAAGGAAGCGACTGCCCCGGATACGCCCACCATCCGAGGTGGAGAGTGCCGGCTGACCTCCAACATCCAAGCCGCAGGGCAGGGCGACCCCCACGACTCCGGAAACTAGCGGTTGCCGACGGGGCCGTAACAATAGTCAATGGATCACTCGCCGGAAAGGAGATGGGGGCAGTTGGGGGCGTGACCTGGAATGTGGAAGCACCCGGACAGCCATAATCGTCCACCGAGTGCAGCTCATCGGGCGTCCGCTTATCCGGCTAGCCATAAAAAAATCGGGAGATGGTGAAAACTCCCGGATCTCGGCTCCTAGACGGATCAGGGGGCAGAACCACGGGGCCCCCGGCCACACCGGTGCAAGCACCGTCGCCTCGATGGATGGCTGGGCCTGTAGAAGAGCCGTGAGGCGTCCCAATAGGCTGAATGGCAGGTTGCACCAATTGCGGTGGTGCGTCCAATCCACTTGGGCGAAGGCATCGATCCCGGCTGTGAAAGGGCACCACCAGCGTGAATTGAACTAGTGATAGGGTGCTGGTTTTCGAATCGCGCGTTGTGCCGCTGCCTTGTCGCCCGAATGGCCGGAATGGCCCGCGCGGCCGCGATTGGCCGCGGCTTGACCGGGGCGCGCGTTCGTTGCACTCCGAGGTGGTGGGCCCAGGTCTCTGGAAGGTCGCTGAGTGCGCGGCGATGGAGGCCGGGATGCTGCGAGCTCGGTCGCGCGGGTTGTGGTCCGATCCGCGCGATCCGGAGGTGTTTGCCAGAATCGACAGGCAAAACGAATTACTAATCACATGACCACACCACTTTTGTACAGCAGGGCGCACCGCGTCCTGGGTCGCCTGCCAAGAGTCCAAAAACATCCAAAGTCAACCGTGCAAAGCACAGCCGCTCCCCCAAGCTGCCATAAGTACTGCAGCTGGCCAGAAATCACCCAAATAAAGGGGTATCCTCCTAGGGCCCTAATCCCATCTACTACGGCCCTTAATTGGGTTGCCAATTAACACAATTTAAGACTATAATGTTCCCAATAAAAGGCCTCAGGGAACAGGGGGAAAAGTTAAGGGAGTAAATGGTCTCCCCAAGTAATTCCGTCACACTACTCCCCCCTTGGGGAAAGTTTTCGCCCTCGAAAACACTGACTCCCATAAATCAGTACTCTCTACCGTTACCCGATTGTAGACCTAACTAGGGTCCTCAATGGGTTTGTCCTGGGCGATCATTTTCCTCAATTCCCTTGGGTGATCGAAATTTTCCTCTGGCACCCAGGAAGCGTCGTCGATCGACCAGTCCTTCCAAAGGACTAAGTATTCTTTGACCCTCCTCTGACTGGGTCCTCTCCAATGCCACCGCAGAAGTTTCTCTATGTTGTAGGGCTCGTCA